TCCGCCTGGGTTCTACACTAGCCGCCATACCTGCAACCTAACTAGGAGATTACCTATTTAAGCTCTCTGATTATTTAACTAACAAGAGTACGACTAGCTATACATGCAACTTTTGGTTACCTATTTAAGTAGTCTGCCCTAGGTTCTACACTAGCTGCCGTATCTGCACCCAACTATGAGGGATACCCATTTAAATCCTCTGGCTCTATTTCTTGTAATACACTTTACTCTAACACTCTTAATGAGATTAGCAATACCATGGAAGGACCCTAAGACTTTAGCCACATGGGTATTTATCCTTGTAGTAAACCTAACAGAAATGGTACATGTCCCACACATGACTCAACCTGCATGTTTGGTAACTTTTTCCAACTAGTACATGTTGTGCTGCTGCTACCGGGTCCGTATCTCAAGCTATCTTTTCAGATACTGCTGTAACCCAATTCGTATCTCAAGCCACAACCTTTCTAATTAGTTCCCACTTACATACTCCTGCCCTTGCAAGGTTCACAGCAACCCCAGTACCTATATTCCAACTTCCTTCTTTCTCGGATTCCTTACTGGTCTCTCCATTACTTCCAGCTGACAACCCAAAAGGGTTGGTCTGCCCAGGCTCTAGATGCTTTATTGTCTCCCTTTCCTAGGTACATGCTTCCAGAGCACAAGTCCTTTTCCTCCGATAGCAAGCCGGTGGTTTAGCTAGTATGTCCCCCACTTAAGGACCTGGTCGCTCGGTTCCCCAGTCTCAGTTTCCGATTCCAAATTCAGTCTTTCTGTAATACTGTCAAAGATCACTGCTACTCCCAACTCGGGACTTGCCAAATAGGTTTTCAGTAATACCAGTTTCCTGGATTTATTGTACCAAAGCTCCCATTTGAGATAGTGTGACCAAGATTACAGATATTTGGATCCAACCAATAATCTTAATATTAACTAATACAGATCTAGTTTTTTTGAAATCGTCGTCCGTGGGATTTGAACTCTAGATCTGCTATTTGGGGTGCGACAACTCCACTATTTCACTAAGTTACCACACCCTTGCTTTATTTATTTAATATATATATATATGTACATATATTTGTAGAATCTTTTTAAATAAAACTTTTTTACCATGTATTTTGTTAATTGTTCTGTGCTTTATAGATTTTTATTTTTTTTTGGTATTAAGGTGGCCTCTTTGGCTATAGGGACTCTTTATTAGTAATTATTTGCTATTACAGTTATGATAAAGAAACAACTAGTTATATGTGCACCTTTTGAGTGCCTATTTAAGTAGTTTGCCTGCAGGTTCTACACTAAATATCATACCTATAACCCAACTAGAGAGTTATTCATTTAAACCTTCTGATCCTAATCATTTTTAGCATATCATACTAACCTGAAAACTATTATCTGGCTCATTCTACTAGATTGCATACTCAACCTTAGAACTTCTGTGACTTATCCTGTGTTTGCACTGTCTAATTACTGGCTTGCATTCTTCTGTTGAGCAGACATATGGCTATCCTCAAGGTAAACCTACTAAAGCCTTCTGTATTCTATATCTGGCTGACCCAGTTATCACAGTTGCCAAGGCTCCCACTCGTAGTTTAATATAACCCAATTGAACCACTATGCTCATGTAAGGTTCATTTCAACCCCAGTACTCACATTCAGGTTTTTCTTTTTTTGTTCTTGCCTTATTGGTCTCTCCATATTTCTAACCTGTGATCTGAAAGATTCAACTCTGGCTAGGCTCTAGGTACTTTATGCTTTATCTTATTGTGGTACATGATTTTATAGCACATGTCCTTTTTCTCTAATTGGGTCCAGCCAGTCTCTAGAGATTACCCAACCCTTGTCATTAAATAGAACCTAACTCCTATATTTTAGTCATGGTGAATAACTACCCCAGTTTTCTACACCAGTTAACTAGATTGATGTACTAGCTTTCTCTCTATTTGGCAGTCGGGTTAGTAGATTCCCTTACTTAAAGATCTTGTTGTCATTTGGTTCTCCAATCTCAGCTATCACTTTCAAATTCAGCCTTTCTGTAGTACTGTCAAAAGTATCTACTATCTCCTTACTCAAGTCTTTCTAAATAGGTTTCAATCATCCTAGTTTCTTGGAATTTATACATCTAAGCTTCTTTAACAAGATGATACAACCAAGATTACAAATTGTAGATCTAACTGATCAATAAATAATCATTATCTAATACAAATTTATTTTTTGAAAAATGTCATCCCTGAGATTCAAACTCTAGATCTGCTACTTGGTGAGGTGATGACTAGACCACTTCACTAAGCTACACACCTTTTTATAAGTTTTTATTCTTCTAATTTGTAAATTGTTGATTAACAAAATTGAAATAAAATATGCATAGACAATATAACATGTGATTTAGTAAAAAAGTGTTATTATTATTTTGGTTTTTTTTTAATAAGATACTGTATGGCTTATAAAGATCATATAAAAGCTTCTTTTGTTTTAAAAAATTTTTCAAACTATGTAATATATTTAACTATACCATATTATCGTGAAATAATGATCATGGGCATTATTTTGAAAATTGTATCCCCTAAAAATAGCATACTGGGTTTCAAAATAATGCCTATGTGCATTCTAAAATAGTGTGCACCATATGTAGTATACTATATAATTGAATAACAAAAGTTGGTAAAAAAACGTTTTCAGTTTTTTAAATATTTTTTTAAATGTTTTTTTATTGTTTAAACCTTTCTTAAAACATCGAAGCCTGAGATAAAATTTTGCTTTAATGAAAATATTGCTTTTTGATTAATTTTATTTTAAGCTAAGAAATTTTTTTAAAAAAAGATGCTATATTTTTTTGAATGAATTATTTGAAGAACCAGAATTCTATTTTTTGAGTTTTTAATAAATTATATATTACTTGGAAGTCTCTTTTACAGTTTAATAAATAGTCTTTTAATTTATCAACTAAATTAATGCTGTTTTCGCAATAATTATATTTCTGGCAAAGCATTGTTCGATTATGTTTATCAGGTTCAGAAACTTTTTAAAGTTTCAACGAACTTCTTTTGATAATGATCTTCTACGCAGTCAAATTATAGTTACATAATTATGTCATAATGTATTATAAACCATTTTATAAAGTAAGCAAAAATTAAAGTTTCTATGAGAATTTATTTCAAATCAGCTCACTTAATATCTAAAAATCTAAATAAACCCTTTACAGCTAAACAAATCTATAACTAATAAATGTTCTGGGTTAGAAAAAAAAAAAGAAGCAAAAATATGAAATATTAAATAAGTTAAACTCTTTAGAGACAGAGAACAAGAATGGCAAACAATTAATAGCTTGAACTGTCCAATGCACATTACAAGAAGATAAAATCTGATTACTATACTGTGTACTACAGTAGGAATATTGAGATAAGTATAAATTTTAAATTAATAAATTAATTATTTTTCTTATTTAATTAATTTTTTTCCAATTTAACAACTTATATTATTTTATTATTATTCTATCATTCTTTTATTAACATCCATTACATATTCATAATCTATTAAATTTTTATCATCAGTTTCATCAGTGGTATTTTCTTTATTGTCAGTTTGATTTTCCACATCTATCACACTTTCATTTTCATCTTCTGGAAGTATATTCATTAACTCATTCATATTCAATTTATTCATCTAGTTTTCAGTGACAGCTTGAACAATTGCCTGAAGATGTTGAGACATTTTATCATTTTCACTACCATCTGGATTAAGCATAAGTCCAGCTTCTTCGAAAGACCTAACTAAATATTAGAACTAATCTCCTTCCAGGTTTTAGATACTTATTCATAGACAAGTTCATATGAGGCTTTTTTATGATTTTCATTTTTAGTAAGTACTTTTTTTTCTTTATCAATCCAGTGTTTCTATCTTTGTCTTATTAGATTTTTAAATAGCTTGTTAACTGAAACATCTAGTAGTTGTAAAACACTAGTTGTTCCCCAGGTATTTCTAAAAAATCTAGCCTCTCTGCTTTAAATACTTTTTTTACATTATCACAAACATGACTTTGATAACTATCAACAAATATAATACCCTTACTTTTAAAAAAACTATTTGGTCTTGATCGAATAGCTTGTGGTATATAGATAGAAATCATTAGATCACCTTTTATATTTGCATAAGGTGCTGCTACGATAATGATATTTTGTGAAAATATGCCTCTGTGTTTTTTTTTTAATTTAAATATCACTATAGGCGAAAGTTTTACTCAGAAGCTATGTAGCCTAAAACTATAGTAAAATGCAATTTATCACTTCTTGTAGTCTTGATTAGTACTTCACAAACACCTTGAAAATCTATTGCCGAGTTCCAAGACATGTCAAACCATATAGGTGTTTCATCAAAAAAGATAATAAATTGTTTTTCAATAAAATTTGTTTTTTCATGTGAAACTTTAAGAAAGTCTTTAATAACTAAAGGCATATTTTCAGGAAATTTTTGTACAATTTGTGTTCAGGTATATTTTACCAAACCATATCATTTTCTAAAACGATTACACCAGCTATGTGAAAATTTGGCATCTCCAATATCTAGAGTCTTTCTGACTCCTTTGCCTTTTGCTAATTATGGAAATTATAACTGCAAGTTTTTCTTCTCTCTTATTTTTAATATAATCTACCAATTCTTTTTCTAACCCAGGATACATTGCTTTTTGACCACGACTACTAAGAACACATGTTTAATCTATATTTATATCTTTATTTTTTTTAAGAGCCTCAAGCTTTGACTTTTGTTGCCTCCATTCTTGAACCTGCCTTCAGTCAACTTTGTAAAATATTGATGCATGATGATTAAGCATTTCTTCCATATAAGTGATTATATCAAGTTTAAACACAATAGTATAACTGCGAGTTTTGTGAGTATAATCCATTTTGTTAAATGAAGTAAAAATTGTACATGAAACAAAAAAAATAAAACAAAATTTAAATATATACCATGATCATGTAGTACAAAAAATCTCTTGATAAAAAAAAAAGTCTAATAAATACTTCATATTTATTCTTTTTAGCTTTAATTGCTTCAAGAATAACTATCGTCAAATGTTCAATTAGTACTACCCTTATCCTAGCAAATTTCTGATAATAAATTGTTATAGTCATTCTTTTTGATTTTTTTTAATACTGAAATATAATATGTGAATGTTTTATATTTGATTTTTTCAACCTTAACAATAATTCACGCTAAAGTTATAACAATGATTAGGATTTCTATACTGGTAGATTTTTGATAATAAATGAATATTTTATTCACATTCTTTTTTATACTGTATAAAGTTAGAACTATAATGTCTTATAGTGTTGCATAATGATGCCAAAGAACAAAGAAAAATAAAAACATAAATTTGCAAGCGATACTTTATATATATGCGGGTTTTAAAAAATAAATAATTTGCTTTTTAGAACCTATTTAGCAGTCATATATTTATATACAAATTTAAAGACAGCAAGCCTTTATTTAGTTTAGTGAATTATGTATCAAATGATATAAAAGCTACTAAATTAAATAAAGGCTTGCTGTCTCTAAATTTGTATATAATACATAAACTGCTAAATAGACTCTAAATAGGCTCTTACTATCACTACATAGTAGTTCAATAATAAGTTAATTGTTTTTTTTTTTATTATTAAAGGTGACCACTTAGGCCATTGGCATGAGCTTTATTAGGATAGTTACAATATTACCTCAGATTCACGAGGATACAACTAGCCACACATACACCTTTTAAGTATCTAATTTAAGTAGTCTGCCTGGGTTCTACACTAGCCACCATACCTGCAATCTAACTAGGAGATTATCTATTTAAGCTCTTTGGTTATTTCTAACAAGAGTATGACTAGCTATACATGCAACTTTTGGTTGCCTATTTAAGTAATCTGCCCTAGATTCTACACTAGCTGCCATACCTATAACCCAACTAGAGAGTTATCTATTTAAATCCTCTGGCTACTACTTTTATAACACGCCCTACCCTAACACTTATACGAGATTAGCAATTGCTATAGATGATTCTAAGACTTTAGCCAAACCATATTGGGGTATTTATCTTTATAGTAAATCTAACAGAATGGTACATGTCTCACCCATATATTCACCTGCATGTTCTGGTAACTTTCACCTAACTAGTACCTGTTGTGCTGCTGCTATTTGGTTTGTATCTCAAGCTATCTTTTCAGATACTGCCATAACTCAATCTGTATCTCAAGCCACAACCTTCCTAATTAGGATTCCATTATATACTCCTTGCTCTTGTGAGGTTCACAATAATCCCAGTATCCACATTTCAACTTTCTTTTTCTCTGAATTTCTTACTGATCTCTTCTTTACTTCCAGCCATCAACTCGAAAGAGTTGGTCTGCCTAGGCTTTAGGTGCTTCATAGTCGCCCTTCTCTTGGTACATGCTTTCAGAGTACAAGTTCTTTTCTTCTAGTTGGCAGTCCAGCGGTTTAGCAGTATATTCTCCCACTTAAGGATCTAGTTGTTTGGTTCTTCAGTTTTAGTTCTTAGTTCCAAATTTGGCCTTCCTGTAGCACCATTAAATATCACTACTACTCTACACTCGGAACTTGCCAAACAGGTTTTCAGTAATTCTGGTTTCCTGGATTTATTGTGCCGAAGCTTCTATTTGAGATAGTGTACTCAAGATTATAAATATCTAAATCCAACCGATAATCTTAATATTAACCGATACAGATCTAGTTTTTTCAAAATAGTCATCCATGAGATTCGAACTTTAGACCTGCTGTCTAAGGATGTGACAACTCTATCACTTCACTAAATTGCCACACCTTTTTACAAATTATAATTTTAAATATATATATGTATATACATATAATAAATTAGCACATTGTCAAGCAAAGACTCTTCCTAACGATCACTTGTACCCAATTTTCTTACAAACGAAAAACAGAAATTTGCTGGAGTTAGTTGAAGAAGCACTATAAAGT